TTTTTTTTTTTTAGGAAGACTGCTAAAAATACACATTTGTTTTTTCAATTTAAATTTGAAAAAAATTATATCTATATCTATATGGTTCCAAGGAATGTTTGAGCTGCTAACCACAAGGTCAGCGTTTCAAAACCACCAGGTGCTCAGCGGGAGAGAAAGGGGGCTTTCTACTTGGGTACAGAGTTACAGACTCGGAAATGCACAGGTGCCGTTCTACCCTGTGTGACAGGGTTGCTATGAGTCGGAATCAACTCAATGGCAGTGAGTTTGGTTTTTGGTTGGGGGCATCCAGCGGAGTGTGTTAAGATAAGTCTTCCTACCAGAGGAAAGTGGGATGGCTGCTGGGTAGTTACAAACAGCAGATGTGCACAACACCTCCCTTTTCAATAGGATCTTTGCTCTTTGAACTTTATTTTTACCTCTCTCTGAGGGCAGAGCATTGACAATAATGCAAGAAAACCCCACTGCTTTGTTGGTTTGAGATCAAGAGGTCCTGGAAACCTAAGAGGGTTGTGGGCATAGACAGATGCCACACTTGCATCCCTGCAATGACAATCTTGCCCATGGACATCTGTTGAAGGAGAACAGCCATCTCCCCTGCTGCTGTGTGGCTGTCCAGATGTGAGGTTGGTGACAGATGCCTTGCAGATGTGCGCTCCACCCAGCTGCTGCCAGCTGCTACTTAGAGACTTCCTTTGGTTACTCTCATGGGCTGAACTTGCTGAGAATATGCTTTAATTGGAAGAAGATGCCCAGCTTGAGGATGATTTCTCTTCTCACTTGTACATTCTTTCTGTTACATGGAGTTGATGTTTTTTGCTTCCCCCCCCCTAACACTCTCTACATAAATCTTGATACTTTTTACCAACACTCACAAACCAAAACAAAGGAGAAGACATTTACTTTTTTGTCTGTAACCTAATATAGATGGATACAGTATGGGGAGAAAGGTACTGGGAATGAGAACTGGGACGAATTGATTACAAATTGCTCAGAAGGGGGTTAACTGGAGACAAGCTTTGAAAGTACTATATGGTATTGGGTGGATTTGTTTGATACCTTCTGATGTGAACTGGTAAAAAGGGCTGTGGACTGGAAAATTATAGAGCCACATTATTTCAGTGCTTAATTAATCAGTTCCAAGATTTGTTCCATGAAGTATTATTTCTGGTAGGATACTGGTAGCACAGTTATTAAGCAGTCAGTTGCTAACTGACAAATTAGTGGGTCAAGCCCACCAGCCACTTCTTGGTCGAAAGATGTGGCAGTCTGCTCCCATAAAGATTGCAGTCTCAGAAGCCATTGGAGGCAGTGCTCTCTATTCGATGATTTGGAATTAACTTGAGGACAATAGGTTAACATGAAAATTAGCACATTTGGGAGACCTGGATTTAAACAAGCTCCTTTGGGTCAGGATTTCTCAGAAACTTAGAAGTCCAATCGGCACTGAGAATTTCTAAGAAGGGCAAGTAAGATGAAAAATTTCCCAAATTATTTGGTCACGGGCCCTTCAGAAATCAAATGAGAGCCTCTGGTAGGCACAGGTCAGCTACCTCATTTTATAGATCATGTGGTTTTTCCTAAGCAGCAGAGTTCTAACTTGTTTGTTACTGACTGAGAGGCTTCAAGTGTTGATTTCTACCATCTAATGTCGATCCTGGGACCTGGCAGGATCAAGTCAAGGGAAGGTCTGAGGAAGGAGAACTGTATGTTCTGTTCCACAACTGGATGACTCTGTAGCCTCTATTGATAACAACTGTCTCACTTAAAGAAAAGTATAATAATTCTTGCTTTGCCTGTTGCACGGAATTGATTCGTGAGGATTAAAATAATTCAAATACCTGAGGGCACTGTGAAGTAAGGGCATTTTATAGGTATTCAGTTATTTTCGTAAGCTGACATCTTGGGATAGTGCTTTTCAAGCTTGACTAGGTATCAGAATCCCCTGTAGGACTTAAAGCTCACGCGTGCATGCGTGCACCCACATACACACACACACACACACACACACACACACACACACACACACACACTTACTTTAAGAGCCACTAACCTAAACATTCCCAAACACACACACACACACACACTATCAGAGTTTATCACTAGGAAATTCCCATTTGCTTTTAACAGGAAAATCCCGCCATCCTGAAAAGCAGTCCTAACAGAGAGCTTGCTCTCTACATCCCTGAACAAAACACAAATCTCTCTGCATTCTTTTAGCCAAGCCATTGCAGCTCTTTTTGC